GCCGCCCCTGACGGCGCCCGGGGAGCCCGCCCCACGCGCTAGCTGTTACTAACCCCGTGCGGCTTGTGCTCCGAGCCCGGGCCGGGCAAGTCTGCCAGCCAATAAGTGTGTGGGGTGTCAAGGCAGACCCGCCCGTCGCGCCCACTAACGCCAGCTCTGTAGAGCCCCGAATAATCACTCCCTGCTCACTCGGCTTCTTTTCAGCAGCGGCCTCTCGGCGCCCGTCCCTGAGTCACCGCCCCCTGCTCTCAGCCCTCGCGCCCTCCCCGCTTAGGTGGGCACTTGGGGGCGGGCCCGGTCGGAGGCTGACTCCCCAGTGCCCGGGGTGGGTGGAGAGATCTGTTAGTCCCACAGTGGCACTGAGCTAGCAGCCAGGGCCCTGGCTAGTGCCCCATGCAGGGCGGGTGAGGGCCAGCAGGGGGCAGTGCGTGCATGTCTCCGGCAGCGGCTGTTGACGGGGTGTCCCGGAGCCAGGCCAGGGTCCGACGTTTCCTTCAGTTCCGATTTTACACCCGGTTTTTTTTTGTTTTTTTTTTTCTTTTTAATCTACGATTTGAATCTTTTTTTGGAATAACATTAAGAAAGTTCAATAAATGACTTTTGGAGAAAACCGAGCGGCCGGCCCTGCCTCTGTTCTCGCCCCCGGGGGCGGGCAGGGACTGCTCGTGGCTACAATGCAGGGAGGGGGCCCAGGACTCCTGGGTACCCTGCCTTGCTGGTGAGCTGGTTTAGACCTGCCTGATCCGCCACTAGTACGAGGGGGCCGAGATTGCTGCTGGCTACGTGCTCTGGAAGCCGCGTCTCGCGCACACTTGCCGTCAGCCTAGTGGTGTCTACACTAGGGGTGTTAATGGTTAACCAGCAGGGGCATGCCAGCCCGGCTGGAGCAGCCCCCGGCTGTGGGGGTGGGGTGCCCCAGCCTGGACGCAGCTCCCCCCCGTTTAATCAGCTAACCAGTTAAACTTTAACGGTTAACTCAGGGGTGGGCAAGTCCGTGTCCACACGCCAGATCTTGCCGTCAGCCTAGTGGTGTCTACACTAGGGGTGTTAATGGTTAACCAGCAGGGGCATGCCAGCCCGGCTGGAGCAGCCCCCGGCTGTGGGGGTGGGGTGCCCCAGCCTGGACGCAGCTCCCCCCCGTTTAATCAGCTAACCAGTTAAACTTTAACGGTTAACTCAGGGGTGGGCAAGTCCGTGTCCACACGCCAGATCTGGCCCGTGGCTGGCCCGCCCCGCCCCTCCCCCCCGCCCCTCCAA